GGGATCTTTTTTAGGTTAGTTAAGATTAGATTAGGTAAAATAAGTAATAATATAATAAAAATGTTTCACGGGGCAGGCAGCTTATACTAGCTCGTCGGTAATGTAATTCGATAGCGTAACATGAGCTGCACGTTGCCTGAGTGATTTACAAGTTATAATGGTGTGAATAGTAGTTATACACAGTTCAAAGAGCAATAAAAACTGTACAATTTAATTATATGTATAGATGTATACTGTTACACGCTTAAAACTACTTAAGATAAACGAATGTAGTTTCATGTTACAATTTGAAGTCATTCTAGAAACAAAGAGGGTTTTTTTTTGTTGTTGTTGGTTGGTTGTTACAAGATTGGTCAAATAGACTGATCCTGTATAGAGATAGGGTAGATAAAATATAAAGTTTTACTGAAAAAAAAAACGTATAAAATGTATTTAAGAGGTTTTAGTGATTACACAAAGAAATTTTGAGATGAAGAAAAGTATCTTTAATCTTAACATGAAAATTACTTTGCACATGAACTATTCAAAACAAATACTCAATATATTCATGGACAAATCTTTATTTTAGTTTATTAAAAAATACTTCACAAATACTAGGCCTATTGTTTTCCAACTTTTAGCATGGAAACCATACCTTTTAAGATTACTGTCTTATTTTTGTAATGATTAATATTTTGTTAATATTATTCTGATACTTTTGATGAACATGATCAAATTAAATTGACTGTCTTTGTAAAAACATTACATGTAAATAATTTCTCTTTAGCATTTCTTTATATTCATACTTATTTTGATGCCAAGAGTTTGATGAATGTTTGAATATTAATTAATTACTCTGTCAATTTTAGGATGTGATTGGTCACGGAAGTACCTCTACAATGTTGAAAAAGATTGCAAATGCTCATGTAAAACAGGTAAGCCTTTGTTTTAGTAAGTAAGCAAAATTACTGAACATTTTTCTTTAAAAAATTTTAAACTTAGTTTTTTTTTCAGTTTCCATTTGATGTAGTACTAGTTTTCAGACAAGGCAATCATTTAATATGCATATATTGAATATGTCTTGACTGTTACAGATGCTTAAATAAGACATGAAGGTAAATAGAAATGGCCTTAATGTTTAACCAACATTCGTAAGAACTTCTAATTCTGTTTCAACCTTTTTTTCCCAGAAAGTTCTGCAAGAAGAAATATTAAAATTTTTTTATGCTTAAAAATATCATTGTGTTATACTCGTATTAGATTATGGTGATTAACTTGTTTTTATGTAGGTTGCAAACGAAACTTGCTTGTAGCTCATTCAATGGAGAAACGTTGTTGAAACTGTAAAATGTTGTAAAGTTATAAATAAAATGAAACAAGGGGAGTTACACTGGGTCTAAGAATCTATTAACTTGTACAACCACAACAAACAAGGAGAGTATTTCTCACAAGTTAGCAGTATGATCTCCACTTTGAAAAGTATTGACATCTTATTAAAAAACAGAAACTATTTCCTTCTGTAATAATCTCAATAAATATCATGCATTATATTTACATCTGTCAAAATATTGCTACAGGTTTTTCTGTTATGGAAGAAAACTACATTTGGCATCAAAGTGGCACTGTTTGGAATACTGCCTTTTGTTGAGAAGGAAAACACTAAGATAAACTTTCAGGACTAATATAATCTGTACAAACCATATAATACTCATTTTAAGTCTTAGGATCATTATTCAAAATAAAGGTTCATGGGTTTTGTGAAAATATTGTAATCTGGTATCTGAAGAGTGAGCTTTATACTGATAATAACGTGTCAAACTACACGTTTGCTCCTAGTTTCACAAAAAGACTGTGCTGTGCTACAACTAGCATTAATTTTACCTATTAAACATTAACAGTCTGTTGTACACAAAAAATCTGAATTTTTAATAAAGAACTAAAAGTAAACATTTGTCTGTGATTTTCCAAAGCCTTTACTGAGTCAAGTTGAGTAAAAAGTTATTTTCATGATGAGAATAAAAATACTTATTTTCATCTCACACTTTTCATATTTTGTTTGCAGAACCTCCTAAACGAACATGAAATGATTTTTCTGTAAAACTTTATACTGTATCTCTCTCTCTCTATTTTCTCTCTTCCAACTCTAACTGCGGCAAAAGTAGAAAAATGTGAAATAAAATAAAATCCTTTTTTCTCTAGGATGACTGCGGATTGTAACAGACAATTCCAATTATTCATCCAAAGAGCTTAAGGTTTCACAGCTGTTTTAATTTAATTTTATTGCTCTTTCAACCATGTCTTAACTATCATGACAAGCAATAAATCACAGTTTGAGAGAGTGAAGAGTTTAAGATAAACAAAGTTTCAGGTTACACCATACCACATCTGACTATATATGTTCCTTATGCACTTTTAGAGGAGTGATCGTGAATAAAAATTTTATTTCTTTTACATTTTCCTGTATAACCTAATAAGTTTTATTTTTTTGCATTTGAATTACTTTTTTAAAAAAACAACATAAAAAATAAGTAAAAAGAATATGAAAATTAAGAAGTGTAGAACTTACCTTAGCTGTTTTCATAACCCTATTTTTTCCTACTATGTTTGTGGTCCAAAAACTAATTAATGTAGCTTTTAAATATGAATTTTAGAAAACCAAAAGCATATCACTCATTAGAATACATGATATGAAAACTACTGTAATTTATTTGTCTTTCTAACTAAACTATAAATAGATTTTAAAAATGCCATTACTTCTTGGATCAGTATCTTTGGTCCAAACCCATTGAACTCTGACAATAAATTATTGACTTTGGCAGCTCAAACAAAACAAATTGTCATGTGATTTATGTAGTTTACTATTTACTCTTTCTATTAGTTATAAAATGACCAATAGACATTTTTAGAAAAATAGGATGTGATAGGAGAGGCATGGCATGTACGTTTGTCTTTCTTGTTTATATCTTAGAAAAGCAAAAAGACTGGAGGCTATACATTTACTTTATGGCTTAGAAATATCAGTACTGTAACTGCTTAATTTGTGCCAAACTCAGAAAAACATTTAAATATTTATTTAAATATTTTATTTTAAAATTAAAAATCAAACTTATATTAAAATTTGAATTATAAACCAGATTTTGATGCCAAGTTTATTAATATACATTGATAATAAAGATGTTTAATCAAATTTTGAATGTAACACATTGAACAACTTGTTTGCTTAGGGTTAACGAAATGATTACCTAACTTGGGTTATTTGAAAACATTTTATTTTATGGATGAAGGTCACTATTGAAAATAGTTTATTTTAAGGAGGCAAAACAAATTTGGAACAACACGCTACTAATGTGTCTCAATGAGAAACATTACTTAGATTTATTTACAATTAACAGGAATACAACGTTCAAATCATTACACAATAAATAGTTATAAAAAACAGGGATTTGCTCTGAAAAAGACTACAAATGTTTCGCTGTTCTATGACATCACCTTCAGGAGTAATGGTAAAGGCGTGTTTGGGTCTTGTATACCCACAATCATTTACATGCCAATAACACCATCTAGGCTTAGCTATTTCTTGGGTAAAAATTTCATTTTTATATTCATTCATTATGGTTTTTGACCTATTAAACGCTGTCTTAGGATCTTTATGTTTTAAAAGCCTCTTTAGGAATTGCAGTTTTCATTTATTTTGTCTCTCTTTAGGATCTAAACTTGCTTACTGTTGGATATCACGTGCACAGGATCAGTTATTTTCATTTGGTGATTCTTAGTTAACCCTCTCCCATGAGCATCCTTTTGTGCTCATTTCAAGAGGTTTTTAGCGAGTTACATTCAAAATTTAATTAAACTACTTTCATAAAGTATACCAATAAATAAAGCATAAAAACGTAACCAATTATCCATATTTTAATAGCTTATAAATTTTAAGTTCTTAAGTATATAAGGCAATGATTAAAACATCCTGAATTTTCCTTAGTTTGAGAATTTTAACATTTTCTCTCTAGGCATCTCTTCTTCTCTAATTGATTTACCACCCCTACAAGAAGTATGAAATTTAACGAAAATTACTCATTATAATATTGTTATATACACAGGTAAAGTATAATTTTATAGCTTTCAACTTTAATTGTTTACAGAGCCATAAATGAGAACATCAGACCCACTTGCCACACCCATCTGTAACATCCTCTCTTTCAGAAATTGTCAATAGTTCTCTCTGATGTTCAATACTATATTACTTATAACCAATAGAAAGCCAAATGATGTATTATATTACATTGTTTTCTGTATAGAAAATTGTCAACTTTGCTTCCCGTTCAAACTTTATTCCCATGGGATACACATTGATGAGCTTAGGTGAATTTTTAACAGCCCTTGTCACATAGTTAGAAAGCCAGAAAAACTGTGTTAGTTATAGGACATTGTCTGCTTTTTGCATGTTGTTATTCTGTGTTCTTTAGTGCATTATTTAATTAAATAAAATATTTAGTGTAGTAGTACCATTAGTATAAAAAAGTAGGCTTAAGTGTCATCAACAGTTGACAGCAAAAAAAACGACCCAGGTAAGTACTTTATTTCTTGCTTTTCATGTTTATTCTTTATTTATTATTATAAATGTAACTAAAATGTAAAAACATAAACGTTTTTAGGTTAGATTAGGTAAAACAAAGAATACGAATTTTTCACGAGGCACGCTCTTGAGCAGCTTGAGGGTAGTTTGTGCATTATGTAATTTGATAGGGTAACATGAGCTACACATTTGCCAAGTGATTTACAACTTATATGATACAAATATTAGTTAGACACAGTTCAAAGAGCAACAAAACAATAAAGATATGAATACCGTTATGAGTTTAAAGCCATTTAAGATAAACAAATATAGTTTCATGTTACAATTTAAAATTCTTCTAGAAAGAAAAAAGGGTAATTTAGATTTATTTCCATTTTTTTTTTTTAGCTTTTACAAGGTTGGTCAATTTGAAATGTATTTAGGATGTTCTAGAGATTATGCAAATGAAATTTGAGATTTGTCCAATGAAGAAAAGTATATTTTTAATCTTAACATGAAAATCACTTTGCACTTGGAGCAGTCAACACTTTGACACCATGGGGAAATGTTTAGTGAAAATACTTTGTTAAAAATTATGATTTTTTGTCTACAAATGACTTAATGATTACTGAAGGCTTGCAAAATTTTGTGAAGGTACACAAAACATATTAGAAGTTATAATATGGAAACTATAAAGGTCAGCTTGGAGTCACGAATTCAGCTGATTTGACCAGACCCATAGCAATGAAAATTTGTTAGTTCAATTATGCTTAGTACAACAAATAAAATTTATCATACTGTAAGATGACTCCATAGAGGGAGGATAATCTGTGCTATAAAACTTCCTTTAGCAAGTAACCATAACCGCAGTATTAGACACTCAAATGCTTTTATCATATTGTAAGATGACTCCATAGAGGGAGGATAATCTGTGCTATAAAACTTCCTTTAACAAGTAACCATAACCGCAGTATTAGACACTCAAATGCTTTTATCATATTGTAAGATGACTCCAAAATTAAAGGGAGAAGAACCTGTGCTATAAAACTTCATCTAGCATATAAACATAACCGCAGTATTAGACACTCAAATGCTTTTATCATATTGTAAGATGACTCCAAAGTTAAAGGGAGAAGAACCTGTGCTATAAAACTTCATCTAGCATATAAACATAACCACAGTATTAGACACTCAAGTTTGTTTATCATACTGTAACAGGACTCCATAATTAAAGAGGGGAGAACCTGTGCTATAAAACTTCTTTTAACATATAACTGTCACAGTAGTATTATGTTTATTACTTTTGAATCTTAGTTTGGGTAAATTCATCATAAAATATTAGACACTCAAGTTTGTTTATCATACTGTAACAGGACTCCATAATTAAAGAGGGGAGAACCTGTGTTATAAAACTTCTTTTAATATATAACTGTAGTATTATGTTTATTACTTTTGATTCTTAGTTTGAATAAATTCATCATAAAATATGAGAAACACAAGTTAAAAATATGAGATATCTAAGTAATGTAAGAGCTACTAGTATTTATAATTTGTAGATATACATACATACCTATATGTAGAGAGAGAGAGAAATATATTATTAAATTTATTTTATTTTTTAATGTATTTATTTGTAAAAAAAATGGGTTAACTGGAGAAAATACCTACAATTTTCCATTACAAAATAACCAGTGTATGACGAGTTAATTTGGTGAAACTTTTTTTTTCTTTATTTATGCTGTTTGTGTGCAAAAAATTTTTAATTTTGCAGGGTTCCTACGTTTTTATTTTTTATGAAATGTTTATACTTTATTTTAAAAAATATTCGTATTTATCTTTTTTAATCTTTTTCAGGTCATAGAATTTGAAAGGATGAAACTTTCTACAACATAAAAGTTTCTAATATTAAACTTTAAGATCAACATCTCTTCTATCTTGATACGTCCTGATTAACATCATCCTTATCCTGATCATGCATAATTGTTTTAAATTAATTTCTTAGTAAAACAACTTTGCAATCATGTAACTCTTGATTCATAATACAGTTTTCTTTCTGCTTAACTTTAGGACACAGAAATATTGTTTAAATGTCAATCAGAACATGACAACAAAAGATCTGTTGCAAACTCTTTCAATTTGTGAATGCATCAGATGTCCTGTTTCTTCAAATTGTAATTTAACTCACTATGTTACTTTAGAGCTCATACATAAAGTGGAAAAAAAATATTTGGAATGAAATTATTTTATTTTCCTTCACTATTTGACTTTCTTGTAAACAAGAGACTTTCATATTCTGTTTGCAGTATTTATTAATCACATTTATTAATATATTTCTTGGTCATACAACAATATTATTATGTTAGGAAAAATTGAGAATCAGATGGAGAAATTAAAACCAACTAGGCTTATATTGATAAGATCAGCAAGGAACTCATACTGTTGGTAATCCATTCAGGAAACTGCACTGTTTCCGGTGCATTGTTTTTTTCTCAACAAACGTTAAAAATGTCATTACTGAAAATAAAGGTCTTCTTTACTTAATGTAATACATGTAACTGTAGTAATATTTAGTTTTAATATGTTCTCTAAACTTGAAATTCTTATTCATACTTGACTTTAATTCACCCTCTTTTAAAGTTTTTCTTAGTATTTGACAAATTTATCAATTACACGAAATTTACCACTATTATACAGAAACATCAATTATTGCTGTTTGATACCTGTAAATTTTTTAAATTAGAACATTGATTGGCAAATAATTTGTTTCAATTTACTATTCTGAAAAACAGAATATGATTGAACTTTCTTCCTGCATTTTTGTTGCAAATTTTTACCCTAGTTTAACAATGCTTACATTAAACATTCAACCAAAAGAACATGTATTGAATTTAGTATATGAATAATGACACTTGAATGTTTGAGTGAGCAGCATGTTTTAAATTAAATTTTGTCCTAGAAGTTTTTATCCATCTAAAAACAATATTTTAGAAAATATATAAATGTCAGTGATTTAGTATCTTATGACATTGTGAAGTGTGTTCAATATTAAATTTGTTTTTTTAATCGGTATCTGATATTTTTTTTCTAAATCATTGTTTTAAATGTTGTTTTTGAAACTGGAAATACTTTTGAATTATGTATTGATTTCAGTCAGACATTGTAAATAAATTTTTTCAATAAAGAAAAAGTTGGAAATTTAGTATTCATGTTTAAATATATTATTAATACATTGAATTTAATATTGACCTGTATAGCTTTACACCTCAAAAATAGAGTTACAAGTGTTACCTGAGTCGGGCATGCATTTGACATAGTACATAATAGGGTGATAACCTGGGTGCTAGAATACAAAGTTAAAAAAGTAACGGGTGACAGTTAACTGATTTTCAAGTTTAAAAGAAAACTTACTTGCATTAAATATGTGTACAGTATCACATTACAGGTAAAAGAGAAAGGAGAACAAGGGTATCTTGTATATTGTTTTTTTTTTTTCATCTGTTTGGAAACTTGAGTGAGGGCAGTCATCATCTTTGATGAATGTGGTGTCATACCATGATTAGATGATGCAAATGGCCATCAAGTAATTTTAAGCCACTTGTCCCTTGACAACATATTTCAGGATTTAATATTTTCTGATACATTATAAAAATCATCCCAAATCTTTAACTGCTAAAATGTACAAGTAAAATGATATCAGAAGTATGAATGAATTTTAAACTCAGTATTTTTCTTTACGTTATCAATTATTTTAATGACTTGCAAAAGTAAATGCACCCACAGTAGCACAATCACAGGTTGTGGAATAAACATTCAAACACTGAGTTTTGTACCACTTTCACTGGGCAAATGTTGACTTCCAAATGGTGAATGTTGCACAAATATCACTCATACAAATTTATTGCCATAATTAACCACTATTTTTTATATCCACAATTTATCACAAACTATTATAAGATGGCTGTACTTATTTTTCCATTATATTTTCCCATATTGTTTCCAGTGGTTCTTTGTTTCAGTACCAAAACTTCACTATTGATTTATTAGGACTCTTTTACAAGACAACTACAAGAGTAGTCAGCCTATACATTTATAAGGAGTATTGATAAAAAGACACACTTATATAAGTTTATTTATCAAGAATTACACATAGCAATAAATTTAACAGAGATTTAAAACACAAATCAATACTGTCTAGCAGTGAACTAATGAAATCAGGAACAGTAAACTACTAAACCCTCATATATAGACCACTAAACTTTAACAAGTCTAAAAGGATGGTGAGGTAAACAGGTGCCTATGTAGGATATCAAATGATTCAGGAAAGTTGTCATCTGTGGTCAATGATCATGTATGATTATTTTACTTTTTCTTAAATCTCCCTACATTTTTAAAGGCTTGTTTTGTTTTCTGATCAAATCTTGGTTGTGTTGTTACAAAGGCTACTTGAATGATACTGAACAGGATATTTAACAGAATAAAGACAAACATTTTTAACACTTATTCATGTTTCGGTAGAATTAATGGAATGATTATTTTTAGCAGTGGAAATAATATTACTTTTGTAATCTGCGTTTCAAAACCTGCACAAACAGACAAAGCTCAACATTCAATTTTGAAATGATGGGACAATAGGCATGAATAATGTTGATGTTAAAATTTATTTTACAAGCAGGATATTCTACACTAAATTGTTAGTAATTAATCACACTATCATTCATATTTCAAAATGTGATGTAACTTAAAGAATAAAAATGTAGATTTACCGTATGTTATTGTTGAGCAGCTCTTGTTATGACTGAAATGCTCAACAATTACTTTTTGTATGGGTGGTATAAGTAGCTTAGAGCTTTGGTTCTGAGTGAATCCAAGAGTACAACACAATTAACCTTTCTAAAGTCCATGAAATAATTTAAATTAATGGATTAACTTAAAATTTCCCATCACTGAGGACAGGTACTTTTGCTTGTATCATATGAATTCAAATAACAGGATTTTAATGTGCTTGTGAGCATCTCTTAGCCTAAGGCCAACCAAGGTGCACTGTATAGTTATAAAGACATAAATATTGATAACTGGAACAGGCTTATAACTTGAGGAAAAGTGGTATTGCTTAATTTTATTGTTTTAAGATCGGCCTAAGTTTGGCATTTACTAGACTGTGATTGTAATAGGGGTTTTGATACTCATGTTGGGCACAGCACAGATATCCCACTGTGTAGCTTTGTGTTTAACAACAAACAATTTAGTAATATTATATTGTTGTTGTTTTATACAGAGGGCTGGTTTAATTTTTCTACAATTTTTTTTTTCCAACATTGGAGTGATTATTTCCAAAGGTGTTCAAATACATGCTACGGAGTTTTCAAAAGTCCACATTACACTCGAACAGTTTTAGACCACTGAAAAGCATGTGAAAGTTTAGGGATCTACAACAACACACAATAAAGAGGTGTTGTTTCTTTAAGTTCTTAATGTTTATCTCTAATTCCCAAAATTCAGTTTTTTGGAACGATAATGTTATTTACCATTTTGAAAGAATATTTGTTTTGTGATACAAGTTGAGATTTTTAACACATTTTTTTTTTCAGTGAGAAAAGCCTGTTAGGAAGAACAAATAGCTTTACCTGTACAAAAAAAAGGGTATTTATTTTTATGATCCTCTATTTTATTTAGGATCATGGAAGGAATTCAAAAAAAGATAAATTCCCATGAATGTTTACAAAAAAACAGATGTATGAAAATCATTTTCTTTCCCACTAAAGGTTTTAAAAATGAAAGTTTACCATTAACTTCATTTACATCTGTGATCAATAATGTTGGGATGGATTACGTACAAATTTGAAAGAACATTTTCAAACAACTTGAATCTTTTGAAATGGTGTAAAAATGTCATTCACATGATGAATCCAGAAAACTGGAGTATGTAGAGAGGTTGAAGTAACATCTTCTATTTTGATCATAAATACATTGGCTAAAACAGACAAAACTGGATTTTTAGCCTTAGATCTTTGATTTGGTTATAATTAACACCTTCAAATTGAAAATTTTGCATGAACTGCTTAAAAATGAAAGAAATCTTTGATAACAAACACCTAAACAGGATCTGGGATTAGATTTACTGTAATGTCATTCCAATGCACAGTTAGTTGCTTCCTCAACTAGTATATATGTAAAAAGTTTTATTTTTACATCAAAACTAAGAAAAACAAGCATGAAAATCCTTTAGTTTGTTTGCAAAATCTTTTAATTTTTTTTATATAAAAGGTGACATAAGGTGAAAATATCCAAGCTAAGAGTTTTCCAAGATTATAATTTTAAGTTTTACAGCAGAAACAATAGGAAGTAATGGAGCATTTGACTTTAAGGTTTTTTTGTAAACCATAAATATGAGGGTTATAGGAATCTGAAGGTCGTGAAGCATAGAACAACTCATTGGAAAATTGGCTAGATCTGTTTAACCGTAACAAGAAAGTTTTTAATTTATGTTCTTGTGTAAAAATTATATTAGGTCTAATTTAATAAATCAAAGCGAATCATTTAAAATAATGTCTATACTATTGAGATAGTTAAAATGATTCAGTACGACAACACAATTGCTCATATCTGATTTTTATAAAATTATGTCTTTGTTATTTCTTGAAGATCCTAAGGCTTTTCATTTTTCAGAATTTAGGTTTAGTTTCAAAACTCTAGGTTGATCAACAAGTTTAGTAACCTTTGAAGAGAAAACTTAAAACATTTTTAAGGTATGGTTATTATTAGGAAAATGAGAGAAAAAATAATTTGGGTTATCTGAAGTTGTTAGAACAAATTATCAGAAGATTCTGTATTGACTAAATTATAAAACATTTGGGAGCAGAAATAAGTTTTCAGTTGTTTTTGAATGGCTAGGTCTTTCAGTCCTGTTTTTAGTTCTATAATTGGAAGCTGTTTTGAAGCAACTGTAAAGTTAAAACTTTTTGGTCAATATTTAATTTCACTTGAAGATGACTGTCAGCTAGACAGTTTAAAATTTATTTTTTTTACCAATGAAATCCAATTTTTTACCAGTTACTAAATTCATTTTGCCTTTACCATTAAGGATTTTTAGTCTACAAATTTTGTTGAATGGCTTTGACTAGCATCTTTTTCTTTGCTAAAATTTTGTCAGTTAGTCTAACTATGGTAATCTTCTTTGTTCAAAGATGGCTCTAGGTCTTTGTTTAAACAAGTGATAATACTGTTCAAACTAGGATAAGTCTACAATTTTCACATATATGCTTTCAAAGAATTATTGCATAGTTCTGATAATTTCTAATAAATGATAGCTACACACAGCTAATTTACAATTTAAAAAGTTAAGTATTAAGTTATGGTGACAATGTTTTGGAAGAAAATAAATACCCTAACTTGACTTTTTTTGGATGGAGAGTATTTTTTTTGTGTCGTCTGAAAGCATTCTTGATTAACAGAGTAAGTTCTAATCACATATTCAGAGGATATTCTGAATAAATTAGTACTTTCTAGTGCATTTGAACATTCATCCATTCATGACAAAGATAAGTCATTGATTTATCTTACTGCATTTACTGATTATAGTTAACAAAGAATTCTGGCATTCTCTTCTTCACAATTATTATTTAAGATGGTAAGACATTATCTTTATGTTACATTGTTCCATTCTTCAACATCCATTCAATTGCACGTACTCAACATTCCAAATGATCTAAAGTAGCTTATATGGTGGTTGCTTTACTTGTTAAGCGTCACCTGTGTCTATGACATCATGTGTTGATTTTTCTTATCCCGAAGGTAATCTAGTCACAGAAAACAGCAAGAGAAACACCCTGAATTCCTCTCCTGTATTGACAGTACAATCTTCAACCAACAACTTCAGATGGTTGGGACACATGCACTTGCTTTTAGAGATAGTAAAGTTGTAATGATGCCAGCTACACAGCTGGTCTACATCATTCATATTTCCATTGACATGGTCAAGAAAGCCATTAACTTGATTTATTCTAAGCTACTTTTGTTCCTTAGATATTCTCAAAAATGGATAATACTTGTCACCTGCAGGGAAGGATAGTGCTTAATATGACACAATGTGTAAGCAGTGTCCTTCGATAATTGTTTAGGTGATATCTGGAGGTTACAGCCCAACCTATATTTGACCAATCGTGTGGGTAGTGCAAATATTCTGGATAAATGCAAGAACATTACATTACTACAAAACATTACATTTAATCTGGAACATTATCGTAATCAGTACAGTTTAGACTAGGACCTGGAAGAGTAGGCCACTGAGAGTTTCCGGCCAGAGTATAAGTATGTCGTATTCTAAGGCACGTGTACTAACTGTGTTTGTGTTTCATAAATACAGTTCATTTTGTATTTCATTCTGTGTCCAGTTTCATTACTTCATTATAACTTAACTCACTTAATATGAGATTTAATACTACTCCATAACCTAAATCTTCTGTTACCTAGTAAACCTATCCAAGGCTACTTCAGTTTCACCTGAATATACCACTTAGTCATTACCTCAACTTATCAGTTCAACATTGCAATAGAAAAGTATGTTTCTTTACTAATTTTAAGTTTTTTTAGTTAGTGTTACATTTAATTATGGTGCACGTATAGTTACTTTAATAAGTATTTTTAACGTGTGGATGGTTTCCATAATGCCATGAACAATATAAACTTAACTGAAATCTTCACTGGTATATGTTTATAATTTTTCTTTACTGCTCATTTGCTAAAACAATCAATTCACAATGGTAAAAATAATCTTTTTTTTGAATATGTATATTTACAATTAAATTATTTCCTATAGTTTAGAGGGCAAAAAATTCTGTATTTAATTTGTGACTTATTTATGTATAAGGTTGAAACCTGTCTGTACTGGTAATTCCACTTTCATAACATACTAGTTTCATTTCCACTGATGTTTCAAAGTTCAGCCATTTAATGACAGCTGGAAGGTCACAGTCTAACCCAGTGGAGTGCAAACCTTATTTTTTACGGTACCTCTGTTTCTAAACATGGGTTTTGTTGTGCCTCCCTTATTCCTTGTATCCTATTCAATATATTCATGTATATATACTGTACATTTCATTTTCTCGTGTTAGTTGTTGTTACTCTATTACTTAATAGTAATAATATTTGTACGGTAGTTTTAAAAACTTCTTTTGTTTTAAATTTGCACTTTCAGTTATAATTTATATGTTGCTATAATCATAGTTGCACCCCCAGGAAATTATCCCACATTTTGTGTGCTTTGGAACTGAAGAAGGCATGTCCTTTGTAGAAGGGACCATTAGCATACTAAATTAACACAATGGCCTGTTGATAAAAAAAAAAATCCTGTCTGGTCCCTAATCAACTTTATACTAAGTAAATCAACATAAAACAAATTTCTAGGACTGATACACAGTTTGTATTTCTTCCAATGTACACATATTCATGAAACAAATACTCTTTAGGTTGGTGGCTATCTACACGTGCAGCACGTTACTTTGATTGATAAGAAGACCAATGTATGGCACTTTTAGCATAACCTTCCACCAGCACTTGTTCACTACACAGTTTCAGATGTGTTATTTACTATATTCTCTCATACATAATTAGTCCTGGTTGACCAATTATCAAGACTTTTTTACATATTTATTTCCTACATGCAGCAAACTATAACCTGCACTTCCAGCAAGCTATAAATTTATATTTTGTAATCTAACAGTTTTTCAATATTTATCTACCTATCTGGTATCCATCTGTACAGGTAGTCACTGAACTCTCTTACAGAAGATGGCGTGTTAGCCATGTCATGTGTTCGACAGATTTTAGGATAATTATGGCACAACACTGTATATTTCTTTTTTAAAAAAATACAGCTATCTAACCAACTTTAAACAAATATAATTATTTTTTCAGTTAGAATATTAAAATACAAATGAACAACATTTTATATTACACAATTAATATTATTATTTAAATCAATCAACGGTTGTAAAAGTTACTCTACATGTTTCAACGTGGTTTCATGTCATTTTCAGGAGTGTTAAAAACAATTATTGTGTGTCGTATAAGTACAAAAGCCATGATCATGTGACTACTAGTTTACAATTCCAAAAAGAAGATCACACCATCTACATACTTTCTGATTTTCTAACCCTTCATCCGTATATAAGATCAAGTTGTTTTTGCTGAGTTTCATTATTTCAATGGTTTCTCTAATATTTCTAGCAATCATATTATTCGATTGAGCCAAAATAACTTTTTTTTCCCACTGGATGATATATCCAGTAAAATTTACATGTTTAGCTAATACAGAGTTTTCACTTTTGCTTTTAACACTTCTCTTATTTTAAACTTTAAGTTTCTCCTAGTTTGACCAATGTATGAATGATCATATTCACATTGAACTTCATATATGCTTGATTTCTTCTTTAGTTTTATTTAATATTTGACTAATTTTATTCAATAGTCTATAAATGGCAATAAGATGTTTTTTTTTTTGAATTTATGAAAAACCTGGGATATATGTTAAAAACTATTTATTTTTTATCTATTTTATAAAATGTTGATTTTAGTTTACTTTTTGTTCAAGTTAGAAACTACAATCTATCATAAACCTTTTTCTGTTGTCATGCTGACAAACCAAGAATCATGTCATCTGAAGCTGCAAAAAATGTCAGCTTTTTACTCTTATGTTTACAGGTCTTTAAAACTGTGTTCTAATTCAGCAGGTTTAAAAAAAGAACTGTTAATTATCAAACATGTAGCATTAAATAGAGGTTTCTCATTGTTGATACAGCCATAAGAAAATTTAACAAAATAAAATATAATCAACATTTTATAAAAAAGACAAAAATAAATATTGTTTTACCATATATCCCAGGTTTATCATGTCAAATATTAAATAAGACTAAAGAAGAAAACAGGTATATATAAAGTTCAATGTAAAAGTGGTCATGCATACATTGGTCAAACTAGGAGAAACTTAAAAGTTTAAAATAAATGAACATAAGAGAAGTGTTAAAAGTAAAAGTGAAAACTCTGTATTAGCTAAACATGTAAATTGTACTGGATATATCATCCAGTGGAAAAAAAAAATGTTATTTTGGCTCAATCGAATAATATGATTGCTAGAAATATTAGAGAAACCATTGAAATAATGAAACACAGCAAAAACAACTTGATCTTATATATGGATGTAGGGTTAGAAAATCAGAAAGTATGTAGATAGTGTGATCTTCTTTTTGGAATTGTAAACTAGTAAACCATGGCTTTTGTACTTGTACAGCACATAGTAATTGTTTTTCACACTCCTGAAGATGATGTAAAATGTAGTGACTTTTACAACCATTGATCGGTTTAAATGAATATTTAAATTTATACAAGTTCCTTGAATTTTAATATTTTAATATTTTTTTCATTGTTAAAAGAAAACAAAACATAACTGTATACTATATTCAGCATGTTGAATAATAAAAATATATAAAAAAGTTAAATGACTTGAAAAACTAAGAACATATGACAAACTTTCTTGTTCAGAGATACTTGTAAATATAAGAAAATACAAAGTTGAAACCTTGTAAAATTGGATGATGCAGTACACTAGAACTATTAACATTAAGTTAGCAACAAATCAGGATCTAATATATATTCAAAAGTTTTCAAAGGCAAAAATATTTTATTTAACAATTTTAATATAATCCATGTATATTGTAAACTTGTTATTAATCAAAAAATGACAAAATCTAAAAATGGAGACAAAGTTAGTGAAAAAATAATAATTCAGTTGTTCTATAAAGATTTAATTGAATGTAACAACACAATAAAAAGTATAAAACTGCTAATTCTGTGGTAACTAATTATTATAAAATTATCAGAATCTATCAAAAACAAAAGGAAAGAACAATTAAGGAGATATATATTGATACAGTGAAACACTTAGTATTCATTAAAAACAAGCTTTCATAAGCAAAAGTTAAAAATAAATGACAACTTTTGAAATTTTTTGAACTAAATCACTTAGCAACATTTTTCTCCCATTGTTTGTGAGACAATCTCTAAACGAAGCTTATGAATGTTATCCATAAACTTCTGGGTACGTTGTCTATCAATATTAGCTTTCCAATGTCCTTCAACTTTGAAGTGAGATCCAACAATAAAACCATTTACTCCAGTGTACTGCTGAACATTACTTGCTGTTACTCCAGATCCAATAAGAATTGGCAATGACACAGACTGTTTCACACCTAATCACACAAAAACAATGTCAACATTGGCAATTTCGCATCCATATCATAAAAAAATTTGTTTCCTTGGACACAAAACTTTTATGCAAACAAATATTTTAATAGTGAACATTAATACTACCTACAAATATCCGTTTCATGCAACTGTATGCAAATAAGGAGAGGTCTGTCTTTTCCCTCCTGTAACAGTAAAAGGGGGGTTTGAATTTATTATTATAGTTACTCTTAGTAAATCATAATTTTATACTTTACCTAACTGAAGAATAAATGTAGTTTTTATAAACTTTCAGAGAACCATGTGCCTTCACACTACTACATTTATGTGTCAGCATTGTCTTGCAAGGAGGAAAAAAGCAGCAGTGGCTGTAAACCATGCTGTTATAACAGACAAATATCTTTACAACTGAAGTACAACAAAATTTTGAATGCGATATTACACAAAAAAGATATTTATATCAATTTAGGAACCACTTGCATTTTTGTGCTCATCTTGTAAATTTTAAAAAACAAGGTATGTTAAATTTTGATTCAGAATCCATTGTCAAATACACCATCACCTCAGCACAGTAAACAAAGAAGAAAATAAAAAAATAGCTAAGGATTTTTTACAACAACTTTTAAATATGAATACAACCATAAATATATTTGCCATATCACTTAAGTTAATGAAAGATGAAGAAAAATATAAAGCATAATGAGAACGAAGATAGCTGCACCCAATTACAGTGTTTTTCAGAAAAGGTAAATCAAAGATATAACAAACCATATGCACCAGACAAAGCAGTAATTTTTGTTAGAAATAACAGAGAAGAACCATCATATGAAAAAACACTGTTCACTCCAAAGATTAAAAAAGTATTTAACACTGACCCTTGCTGTAGTCTGATGGTATATCCTTTGTTGTTCCCATACAGATAGCGTACCAGTTGGTATCTTACAATTTTACTCATATCATCTTGCACTTCATGGTGAATTTTCCCTTCTTCAAAATTCAGGAAAAGTGTTCTAACAATATATTGTTGACAGCTACATTACAGTTGAAAATCAACAATCAAAATATATTCACGAAAACCAATGACAACTCTGAATGGAGAAATAACAGGAACTACCAGATTTCATTAATAACAGAGCTGAATAAGAGGAAGTTTCATCACAAGAAATTATTATTTGGCCTTCTACTTTCATAGGTAGTTCACATGATATACAACAACATTTCCATTGGCCTTCTACTTCCATAGGTAGTTCACATGATATACAACAACATTTCCATTTACCCTCTACTTTCATAGGTAGTTCACATAATATACAACAACATTTCCACTGGCCTTCTACTTTCATAGGTATTTTACGTGATATACAACATTTCCATTGGCCTTCTACTTCCATAGGTAGTTCACATGATATACAACAACATTTCCATTGGCCTTCTACTTTCATAGGTAGTTCACATAATATACCTCAACGTTTCCATTTGCCTTCTACTTTCATAGGTAGTTCACAT